CAGAATCCTAGCCTCCAAGGAAAGAGTTGATTTCATCCACTCCAAGACAGACCAGTTTTCTTGGCAGTCCATGGTATGTTCAAGACTCTTCTCCAGCACCACAACTTGAAGGCATCTGATAGTCCTCCCAGAAACAATCTACATGTCCCAGTACAGATATAAAATTCTCAAGGAGTTAGAAAAGGTAGTTGTCAAATTTATTTGGAGAGGAAGGAAATGCCAAATAAACAAGGACTTCTAAAAAACAAAAATGAAGTGGGAGGCATAGTCCTCCCTTATCTAAAAATCTACTACACATCAGTAATGACCAAAATAGCATGATACTGATACAGTGACAGATGCAGAGACAAAGGGAACAGAATTGAGAGTGCTAGCTGCAGAAAGCTGAAACAGGATCCATATCTCACATCATGCACAAAAATCAACTCAAGGCAGAATTGGGAGTAAAGCCCCCAAATCATGGGTCCTAACCCAGAAATGCACATCAATGAATGGGGCCTTTTAAAGATTAAATACATGTATGCATCAAAACCTTTTTCCAGTAGGGTGAATAGAAACTTTACTGACTGGGAAAAACATTTGGTAATATCATCTCAGACAAGAGTCTCATAACAAAAGTTTACAGAATATTCCTGGGCCTCCAGAAGAAAAAGACTGATAACCCAATTACAAAATGGGCAAAATACATGGAAACCCTTTTACAGAGGAAGACATTCCTCTGTAAGATGGCCAATAGACACCTGAAGAAATGCTCAAAATCACTGGCAATAGGAAAGATGCAGATTAAAACCACTGGCAATAAGAGAGATGCAAATCAAAACCACAGTGAGATACCTTCTCAAATCAGTATCACTGGCAATGTTTAGCAGGGCAAGAAGCAACATGTTGGAGACAATTTGAAGAGGGGAGAATTCTCATATGCTGTTGATCAGATTGTATAATGGTACAACCACTCTGAAAAGCAGTTTGGCATTTTCTCAAAATGCTGAACATAGAAACTCCATATGACCCAGCTATTCCACTACTACGAATATAACCCAAGGAAATTAGAACTGAGGCACAAATAATCGCAAGATTATGAAAACAGCTCAAATGTCCAACCATACCTGAATAGATTGAGAAATTATAGTAAATTCACACAGTGGAATACTATGCAGCTATGAGGGCAGAGGGGGAAGGGCTGGAAACTGGTGAAGGTGGGCATGGGTGAAATCATAGGGTTGCTCAATTTCATGGGTAAAGGAAATGGGGAAGATCCAACAGGGACTTAATAAAATGGAATAATGGTGGGCGTAGTCCAGTTTGATTAATTTTATAAACACAATGTATGGGTATGATTGTATGAAACTTAATGTCAGTGGTGGAAAGTGTGACACACACACAGAACCCCCACTATGTATATGAATGAAACACAGTGTATAGGAATATATGCAGACCAATAAAAATACGGAGATGTTAAAAAATAAGTCTGAGAGTAAATCCCTACACTGCACTGAAGCACATTTCTAAATTTGGCCTGGCGGCAGTCCTCACTGTTGTTTCGGGGGCTCTCAAGAACACTGATGGTGTAGCGGGTAGAGAATTGCACTGCCAAACCGAATTCACTATCTATTTCAAGGGAGGAAGATAGATAGTCTCCTCCCATGTGATTTACAGCCTCAGGAAACCTGGATACAGGAATCTGTTCTGACTCATCTGCATTGGGTTGAATTGAGTGAGGGAGCTGTGGTGGTGTAGTGAGTAGAGGGTTGAGCTGCCGAACCAACAGCAGGTGGCTCAGATTCACCAGCTGCTCTGATACAGAGAGATATGATGCAGAAAGATGGATAATTTCCTTTGAGAGAGAGACAAAGCTATTTTAATAGAGGTCTGAGCTATTTTTTTTTCTTCTTTTTTTTTCAATTTACTATTAATTTCAATGAAAATTTACAGAGACTTTGGGTTTCCATTCATTCATTGTTGCACTTCTCTCCCCTCCCAGACCTCCCCCCTAGTACACTACCCTCTTGGAAAAGTAAAAGAAAAATTCTTTCATTGTTTTATAAACCCTCCCCCAGGTCCACTCCACTATGCAGCCTTCACTCTGGACTCCTGTCATGACAAAAATATTTAATCACATATTCCTTTCAATCAGTTTTCTCCCTCATCTGTTTCAATGCAGTATACATTATTGAACCTATTTTTCTCAGTCTCTCCCCAACCCCGAGGTCAGTCCTGTTTTACAACAGTGACACCATGCAGTATTTGTCCTTTTGTGACTGAGATACTTCACTCAGCAAAATGTCCTCCAGAGTCACCCATTTTGAATAATATTGCATGAGTTCCTTGTTTTTCAGTGCAATGTGATATTCCATTATGTGACTAAACCACGGCTTCTCTATCCATTTGTTTGTTGATAGGCACTTAGGTTGTTTCCAACTCCTTGCTATTATGAACAAAGCCTCAATAAACATGGGTGTGCAAGGTCAAAGCTATTTTTTATTTAAATTTATTATTTTCAGTAAAAATTTACAGAGACTTTGGATTTCCATTCATTCATTGTTGTACTTTTCTCCCCTCCCAACCCTCCCCCAGAACACTACCCTCTTGGAGAAATAAAAGAAAAATTCTTTCATTGTTTTACAAACCCTCCCCCAGGTCCACTCCACCATGTAGCCTTCGCTCTGGACTCTTGCTGTGACAAAAATGTCTAATCACATATCCCCTTTAGACAGTGTTCTCCCTCATCTGTTTCAATGCAGTATACATTATTAAACCCATCTTTCTCAGTCTCTCCCTGACCCCAAGGTCAGTTCTGTTTTATAACAGTGGCACCGTGTAGTATTTGTCCTTTTGTGACTGAGATACTTCACAAAGCAAAATGTCGTCCAGGATCACCCATTTTGAATAATATTGCATAAGTTCCTTGTATTTCAATGCAATGTGGTATTGTGTGTGTGTGAATATACCACCGCTTCTCTATCCATTCGTTTATTGATGGGCACTTAGGTTGTTTCCACCTCCTTGCTATTGTGAACAAAGCTGCAACATGTAAAATAACAAAATACGTTAAAATTTTGAATGTTCATAATGATTGATATAAACGAAAGCTGTTTGAGGTCTTAAGTAATGTTTATGAGGATAAAGGAGTTATGAGACCAATGTTTGAGAACTTTTGGCTAGATAAATGACTGTCAGGCATCAGACGGATCCTGAAGAATTAGGCTGAATGTGGCAAGGTGGCCGTGTCCAAGCTTGGCAAAATGCCTTCCTTTCATTTTAATAGGGAGGAAGGGCAGAGCTTATTGGTCTGTGCGAGGCGGTTGAGGTTGATGTTTTTTTTTTATTTTTTTTCTATAATTATATTTTATTAATTTTCATAAACATTTACAGAGATTTTGGGTTTCCATTCATTCATTGTTGCATTATTCTCTCTACCCTCCTCCCAGTTTGTTCTTGTCCAAATGCCACAGTGCCTGTCAAAGCCAGTTCTGATTAATCTTCTTTGTCTGTGTGTCCTTTGCCATTCCCTATCACTCCTCCCTGAGAGAGACTTCACCCTGAGTCACAAGGAAAAGGGGATGGCGTATTCTCTTAGCTACTTCCTGCTGAGAAGGGACGCTGTGGGTTTCAGGGTGAAGATCTTCTCTCACTACTCTAAAGGGCCCCTTTGGCAGTAGGAAACACATAGACTATTATGGAGATTGATTTTGGAATTTAGATGCACTCTTATTGGTTGTGCTTGGCCGTACATGTTCATATCCTTGAAGATGTATCATGGGGGTGTTGCAACACAGAAGACACAAATTTGACCAACAAGCCATAAGTACATGAGTAAAAAATTATGGAAAAGTAAAAGAAAAGATTCTTTCATTGTTTTACAAACCCTCCCCCAGGTCCCCTCCACCATGTAGCCCTCGCTCTAGTCTCCTGTGATGACAGAAATACCTAGTTATATATCTCTTTTAAACAGTTTTCTCCCTCCTCTGTTTCAGTGCAGTATACATTATTGAACCCATCTTACTCAGTCTCTCCCCAACCCCAAGGACAGTCCCATTCTACAACAGTGGCATCATGTAATATTTGTCCTTTTGTGACTGGGATATTTCACTCAGCATAATGTTCTCCAGAGTCAACCATTTTGAATAATATTGCATGAGTTCCTTGTTTTTTAATGCAGCATAGTATTCCATTGTGCGAATATACCACAGCTTCTCTAGCCATTCGTTTGTTGATGGGCACTTAGGTTGTTTCCAACTCCTTGCTATTGTGAACAAAGCTGCAATAAACATGGGTGTGTATATATCTGCTTGGATGTCAGCTATGGTCTCTTCAGGGTATATTCCCAGTAGTGGAATTGCTGGGTCAAATGGTATCTCTATTTGCAACTTTTTGAGAAAGCGCCATACTGCTTTCCACAGGGGTTGCACCATTTTACACTCTGAGGTTGATGTTAATGCAGGTTTGGGAGCATGCTGAAGAAGAGGCTGCTGAGCTGCAGTCAGAAACAACATCAGAGCCATTTGGAAGGCTTCTTCCTGTGAGCACAGACCTCTGAGAAGGTCCAGTGGGGAAAAAGGGGGATGGGACTAAGGCTGAGTGGGCATGAAGAAGAAGACGGAATAGATAAAGAACTAGCGGGGAGAAGAGGCTAGGTGAAGAGGGTCCACCAGCTGTGGTCAGGTGCTGCACAGGCCATATTTACCTTTTTTTTGTGTGACATACATGCCTGTTTGTTCCCCAGTTACACTAACGGTTGACTGCCCATTAGAAAATGGGAAGTTTTGATAATGAATTTGTAAAGAACTAGTGGTTATGTGAAAATGTTTAGATGCCTTTATAGTTACTGTAATGTACGGCCATTATTTAAACCATCTTACTTAGCTATAAAGTTCGTCTTAACATTGTGAATTTAGCATGTATTGTTTTCATTTTAGTTTTAATGTATGTGCTCTTTAAACCTGTTTTTGTAAACATTGCTTTCTGTTTCATGGGGTTTTTTGTTTTGTTTGTTTTTTCAGTAACTTGGATCCACTTACAGAAACTGTATCCTTTCTTTAAAAAGTTAAATGAAGACTTTCGAAGAATAAAGGAATAGAGAAAAAAAATAAAAGGAAAAATTACAGTCTTCAAAAATTTGCCACTTAGAAAACATCATCAGCAATAGTGGGAGGAAAACGTAGGACAGAGTTTTCTCAAATATGTTGACAAACTTGCTGCATTGACCACATATCAATCCGGCACAGTCAGCTCTGTACCTGTCTTGTTCTTCAGTTGTGAGCTGAAACAGCATGAAACATGCATGTGACTAGGATAGTTGTTTCTCTCTACTTTAAACTGTGTCAGGGCCAGGTGGCGGGCTTCCTGAAGTCACCAGTGACTAGGCCAAGGGTAGCTTTGTCTTCTTTTCCCAAAGGGCTGCTGGAGCGTGTGGCATCACATCCATACTCCTGGCTGAAGAATGAACAGAGCAGACACCTTGTGTCATTTATTGACTAGCAGTTGTACTCTGCGACGCTGCCCAGCAGTGTGCACACTGGTCTCTGCCACCCCTGGCCAGCAGTGTGCTCACTGTCCTCTGCCACTGCTGCCCAGCAGTGTGCTCTTCTGTACTCTGCCACCCCTGCCCAGCAGTGTGCTCCCTATACCATGCCACCCCTCGCCAGCAGTGTGCCCACTGTATGATGCCACCTCTCGCCAGCTGTGTGCTCACTTTAGACATGGGCTTACTAGTAATGTGAACACAGGATTTGGGATAAAAATTTCTCCTCAAAAGAAAAATGGACAAAGATGTGTGAAGTTAGGGTACTCTTAAATTGTGAAAATTGTGATACACTAAAAACAGTACTTACCTTTTAGCTTAAAACACAAAGTTAGATTTTGCGGTTATGGTCTGTGTCTGTCATTTAACAGAAGAAGGCATATAGTATGCATTTCGTCTTCATCAATCAGAAGACGTGGATGAAAACCAAAATGTGATGCCATATTTCTCCTACCAGATTATTAAGTATTCGTACAACTCAGTGCTGCTGAGGTTGGGAGCATTCTCAGACATTGCTGATAATGATATAAATGATTTTTCTCTCCTAGAAGGTGGGGTCACCACGCATCAGAATCAGTTCAGTGCAGTGGGTTTTTTACCTCTACAGAAAATGTTTGCTGACATCTGAATAATACTATGAAAATATTTATTATAGGGGAATTACAAGTATGGAATAACATTTATACACACTATTAAGAGAATAGTTAAATTATGATATATTCATGAAGGATTTAGAATTTGAGACATTAGGAATGACTTCGGTACCTGTTGTCAAGAGACGGGATATTTAACTTATTAACACAGTGAAATACTACAGTAAAAAGTAATTACAGTCTAAACAACACTGCCTATGTATTAGAAATGAAGGTTGTGGGAAAAGCGAAAAAAAAAAAATTCTATAGTTTTTGTTTATATTTTGAAGTTGGTAGATTTAAAAAAATTCTCTCCATGCTTCAAGAAAGTTTTTCTCTCCATTTTATTAGTTTTGTTGTTGAGAATATATAAAGGAAAAGATACACAAATTAGTTTGTACATGTACAATGTAGTGACAGTAAGTTTTGCATCTGTTCCCACCCTCCTGAGTTGTTTTTTACGCATTAACATAAACTCACACCTCCCTAACACTCCTGTCTCATTGTCTGAGAGTTGTTTTTGTCAGTTTGATCTCACGGGATGTTATTAGGTTGAATCAAGTAGATTTGTAGCGACCCTATAAACAACAGATCTGAACCCTGCCTTGTGCCATCTTTATCATTTCTGACACACTTGACCCCATTGCTACAGTCATTGTATTATTACATCTCGTAGAGTGTCATCTTCTCCTTTGCTAATCCTCCAACTTTTCCAGCACAGGAACAAAAAAAGGAAAAAAAAAATGTGTGTGTGAGTTACAGATGACAAAATTTTTCCCAGATAGTAAGGTATGCATCAGAGAGTTGGACAATGACTAGGGAGGATAGAAGGAGAATTGACGCCTTCGAGCTGTGGTGCTGGAGAAGAGTATTGAATGTACCATGGACTGCCAAGAAAACAAACAGATTCATCCTAGAGAGGGTAAAACCAGGCTACTCCTTGGAGGCAAGTATTCTGGGGCTTCTTCTGACATACTTTGGACATGTTGTAAGGAGAGACAGGTCCTTGGAGAGGGACAGGGCAGGAGGGAAAGACCCTCTATGAGGTGGACTGATTCAGTGACTGGGGTAATCTGGATGGGTGTGTCAGAGGCAGTGCGATTGGCACAGGATAGAGCAGGGTTTAGGGCTGTTGTACATAGGGTCGCTATGAGTCGTAAACGACTTGACGGCACATAACAACCACAACCACAACAACAACAGTAAGGTACTTAATTAATGTACTCCCAGTTACATGTGTATTTCCCATAAATGGTTCACAGGAAGAGAAGTGGTTGTTTCAGTGCTGGATGGTGGAAAGGCAGGCTGACCTACCATGGTAAAAAGTTAGGTTTGAGGAATATTCACTATAATGGCTGGCCTTCAGAGGAGAGTCTGAAGAACATTATGTTTAATAGGTTTTTCAGGAATTTGTATTGTATGTTGGAGATTGTGAAAATGGCATAAAATAGGCAGAGTTCAGGTCAGTTTTTCAAGGAGTTGCTATGAGTCATAGTTGACAGCATGTAACAACTGAATCTATTAGTGCAAACACTGAAGCTGTTAAAGTCAAAGATATTAAAAAGAATGCTAGAATGATTACTCATTACTTAATTCTTCAACCCTGTTGTCTTTATTGACATATTTCTTGGTGCAAGTAGGTGATGCCATGCCCTCGCACCTGTTGTTAGAATCACTGTAAGTCTTGTTGACCGTCTTCCTCCCTTTCACGATCCTCTGGCTTTTCCAATATGAGGTCTTTATCCAGGAACTGCCCCTCCCGATCACAATATATGAGTCTCACCATCCTTGCCTTCAAAGCTGTACTTGCTCCAAGACAGACTTGTTTGTTCTTTTGGCATTCTGTGGGAATTAAACAGTTACTTTTACAGTACTCTTCTTCAACACCCCAATTCAAATGGAATGGTTCTTATTCTTTTTTTTTTTAATGAAGGTAAATTTATTGAAACTGGTTTTGAGTAAGGTGGGTGAGTAGAGTTGAAGGGTTTTCTAAAGAGAACGCTGGGGAAGAGTCAGCACCCTGCTAGGTGGGGTGCAGCTGCCCAGCCACAAACAACTATCCGAGGCCCAACTTCTCTTTCTACTTCTCCTTCTGCTGCTTCCGCACCAGGTCCAGGTTCCGATCCTTCCACATACTCTTGCTCAGCTTTGCGAGGCAAGAGCCCACATACTTCCCATTCATCTCCCGCATGGCATGCACATAATTGCTGGGGTCCTTGAAGCTGACGAAGCCATAGTCTTTAGTTCTGCCTTATCGCAAATGACTTTAGCCTTAAGGACGGGAAGTGGCTGAAGGCACGTGCATGTTGTCATTCACCTCATTGCCCAGATCACCCCAGAAAATCCGAAAGTCATCTGTGTCACACTCCAGTAGGCTGGGGTCCTCTCAGCTGCTCAGCTGCTCTGCGACAAATACAGCGTTTCAGTTTTTCTGGCTTCCCTTTCTGCTTGTCCTCATCCAGGGATTCTGGAACCTCAAGAGCCATAAGGCCAGGTGGTGGCTCAGGCCGAAGGGGCCGGGGTTTTGTACTCAGGGATAGGAACTCTGGAATGTGTAGTGGGGGCAACTGGCTTTGCGCAACCTCTAGTGGGAGGGGCAGGGGCTCAGGCTCAGGCTGGGCCCAGTGGCCACAGGGCCAGCTGGGATGGCACCTGCCCCTACAGCCACTGCTGCACCAGCCTCCTCCAGCCCAGCTGCTGCGGCCACCACTGCCTCTTTCTTCTCTTTCAGACCCATGTCCAGGCCAAGTTCTCAGGGCGCTGCTGGCTTTTCCAGACGCGGCCTCAGAACTGCCGTGGAGGTGAGGGGGGTTACTGGGGCCCGAGCCATTGGTGGTAACATCATGGGTGGACCCAGGGAGTCTTGATAGAGGAAGACCCACAAGGGCTTGATGAGGCAGCCTAAGGGCCGTAGGGCGAGGGCCACCTGCTGCAGAAGAGAGCAGAGTCTGCTCTCTGCAGCACATGGGGGATGAAGGCCGGTCAAAGGATAGGGGCCCTCTGAGGGGCCACGGCTCCTCGCCGCAGGAATATGGCTTCTCAAGCCTCTGGACTATCGAAGTGACTCCAATCAGCAGGGCCAAAGCCAACTGGGCCCACTAAGGGGGGCGCCGCCCACCATGGGAGGAACCACTGTGGCTACTGCAGCTGCCCAAGCCTTGAGAGTCGGCTGAACCAGCTGGTAGGTGTTTGTTGAGCTAATTGGGCGAATCGCAGGCGCTGTGGGGACCTGCATTGCTTCTACCATGGGAACAGTTGGTACCGCAGGTACAGCTGTTGGAATACCGGTTATTGGAGCCCCCAAAACTTACTGTTCAAACAGGGCCATCTCGGCTTTCATCTCCTTCAAACGTTCCTCGCCGCACTTGCCCAGGATGCCAGCCCTGGGACCCGGGACCATGGGCCCTCCTGTACCTGGGAGTCCCGGGGCTGCCCCGTCCTGGCCATTGCTGCTGCCATGGTTGTCGCTGCTACTACTGCTTCGCTGGAGCTGTCACCGCCAGGCTAGTATACTCTCTGGAATGGTTCTTCCATCCTTATTTACTGTCTGACTTTCAGATGCGTAAGAAGCAATTGAGAAGATCATAGCATGGATCAGGACTGCTTTTTTCTTTAAACTGATAGCATTGCTCTTCCGCACTCTGGAGGGGTTCTTTTTCTTATTTATTTCCCAATAAATATAAGACAACTTAGTGAAAGAGTATAGTAATTCTTCATTCTTGTTAAACCAATATTTTACAATTTTGCGATCCTATTTAAACATGTCTTATTTTAATTTGCATACTCATTTCCTTGATTATGCTTTGTTTTTGCATTTCCCCAAATATACTTTGAAGTAATGAGCAGTCTATAGAGTGCAAATTGACCATCCA